TCAAAAAGGACGGCAAAGGTCGTTGCCTTTGCGGATGGGTCGCTTACAGGTGAAGCGCCCAAAGGCCTCATCAATGGCCGTCAGTGAGTCTCGGCTCATGGTGAGCACGAGTCCCTGCAAAGGCGGGTGAACCCGAAGAAAAGATCGGTCCAGGCCGCCCACAAAGATGCAATCGCATGCAAAAAAGGAAGCCAAGGCTTTGACGAGACCACGGATGTACCGCACTCGTCCTGCAACAGTGATCTGCCCTGCCGTGGGTGGTGCCATCTGCGCATCAAGCCACTGCTCACCAGTGTGGGTGGCAGTAGGAGAAGGGTGTGCACCACAAAACAAAAAAACCGCCATGGCAAGTTCGAGCCAGCTGAGCTGTACTGAGATAGGGTCCCGGCTGTGCTGTTGCTGAAGCCAGCTAACCAAATTGATGGCGAAGGTCCGCCCGAAGCGGGTTGCATGCTCCGAAATGGACCACATGTTTTGCCAGTTGATCGGCAATTCTTCGGCCCAGTCTCCACCCACTGTGCAAGGTCGCAAAGGGGCACGCAGGGCTTCCTCGGCAGGTGCCTCCACTTCCACATAGGTGTTGTCCTGAAGTGCAGCGGCAACATCCAGGTGGAGGCAACGAAAACGATCAACCGCAATACAAGAGTCCTCGAAGGCTGCCTTGTATTCACACCAGAGGTTCCAAAAAGCAGGTGGTCGCAGACCGTGCGCCTGTTTGGCCGCGGTGTCTGCGTGGCCATTCCAGGTGGCCAACCATTCATCCAAGCAAGGCGAGTCCGAATTAACCTGCATATGTCCAGGAACGTGTTGTACCTGTAGGAGACCATCAGGAGCGGCGTCAAGCTGAAATCTGAGGTTCTCCCACAAGTCCGAATTTGTGGCCGGGGTGTCCGCGGCCCGGTCCGAGAGCAATGCTGCAAGCCCGCATGTAGCATAAGCGCTGTCGGACCAAACTGTTCCGTGGCAACGGTGCCGCACCAACCAACTGACTGCGCAAAGAACTGCATGAAGTTCTGCCCGGTCAATGTCCTGCTGGAGTCCGGCCAAGGGGCTGGCTGCTAAAGTGGCCTCGTGACTGAAGGAGACCACCGCCCATGCGGCACATGCCAAGGCCGGCCTGGTTGGTGAAAGGCAGCTGCCATCGGTAAAAAGGTCATGGTGTGTGTTGGGCACCGGCTCAAAATGAGTGTGTCCAAGGTCCTGCTGATGGTATAGCTGATGTCGAAGTGGTCGTTCCTGGGGTAGAGCAGAGGGTAGAAGGTGCTCAACGAGCGCGCGGGGGTGATCGTGCCAGCGCTCCACGGCCCAAGGGTGTTTGCGGTGCACAGCTGCAAGTCTGGGGCATTCAATGCATCGGTGCTGCATGGTATCCAGGGCACCACACGCGCACTTCTGACCTTTGATCATGTCAAAACGCCCCTGATGCTCGCCGGTGAGGAAGGCGCCCTCCCTGAGTGAATTGATCCTGGCCACATCCAAGGCTGACAAGCGTCCTTCGGAACGGCTAGGCGGCCACCGGATACCCACCAAACCAGCATAGTCCTTGCGATGTCCGACTTCGCGAGAGAGGCGTTGTCGCCAGGCATCACAAAGCCGAACCCGGAGGGCCGGCCAGGGTTCTTGGAGCAGGTCGATCGGAAGGCCCAGGTGATCTGTGACAAACGGCGGTTCTTTGACTTGCCAGTGGATGAGGTCGCATTGCTCGAGCAGCTTACTGAAAGGTCCAGAAAAGAGCGTGCCGTCGTAGTGCTGGACGAAACTGAACCATAACTCCAAGAGGTGTGGCTGTTTGGCCATGAAGCGCTTGAAGTCCTGAAAGACCCGGATCAGTTGATAGCCGCCCGGATCCACTGTCACATCGCCACAAAGGAGGCCCAACCTCAAGCCCGGGTTAGCCCCTGCGTGTCCGTGTCCCAGGGCTCTGACTGCCTTGGTGCGTAGCTTAGTCACCTCCGTGAAGGGGAGGAGCGTGATGCCGATGGCGTGGAACGCCTTGGCCCAGAAGGCCTGCACCAGGATCAGGTGCTTGTGAGTGGTCGGCGCCCAAGATCGCCGGAGCCGCATCCACAGGGCGTCAAGCGCCTCCAGGCGGGCGCGCTGAGAGCCCATGGACTTCCGGGCGCAGTAGGACATAGCGCCACCAAGATCTGCTTGCTGAAGAGCCACACGATGTGAGAACTTCCGGAGCTGAGAGCGGTCCGAGGATGCTGTCGCCCAGAAGTAGGTCTTCTCCTTGTCGAGGCTGAGCGACCAGAGGTTGAAGTACTCCTCCATGCAGATGTGACCACCGATGATGTGGCCAACCTCCTTGCCGATGAGCTCGACGTTGTCCACATAGGATTGGGCGATGGTGCGAGGGCTGAAGACGGACTGATAGACATCCCAAAGCCAGTCGATGAGCAGCATGGCCACTACCGAGAGGCTGCAGCCCTCTGGCATGCCCGAGGTGGACTGTAGGCCATTGCCAATATGTCCCTGGACCAGGAAACGACGCTCCGAAGCTGCGAGAAAGTTGGCCCATGGCTGTAGCACCTTGCGTGGTATGCCGAGATGTGCGGCAACTTGAAAGAGCGGCTGCCGGGGGATGTGCTCGAAGGCCTTGCAGATGTCGCTGACACAGCCGACGAGAGGGGTGTGTTGTTGAAGCGCGCATTCCACCAAAGCTTGGGCCGAGTGCCAGAGGTCGCCTGCTTCTCGATGTGGCAGGAATCCTCGCACGCCGTCAGGTAATTTGTTGCCCAGTTGCCTAATGAGGCTGTTGGCGCGGAGAGCGCCCCAGCTTCGATAGATCATTGGGTAGATCACGATGGGGCGGTAGTGTCCTACCGCAGAAGCAGCGTCGTGCTTTGGAAGAGGGTGGCAGAAGCCCTTGGTGAGTTGTTCAGGCCATGGAGCTCCCCGTTCAACGGAATCCAGGAGAAGGAGGATCTGGTCCTTGAAGCTATCCGGCATCAGCCGGAGATCAAGATGATCAAGTCCGTCGGGACCTCGTGCAGCGCTGCCCTTGTAGCGCTTGTTCACCTGGTCCCACGCCGGGAGAGAGAGCTCCGAGATCGGGAAGGAGTTACGTGGGACATGGGCCTGGGCAAAGGCCAAGACGCGCTGCCAAGTAGAGGCATCAACCTCTGGATTTCGGCTCCACCGTGCCTGCCAGAAGTGCTCGATGTGGGAGAGGATGTCCGCCGGGTTGGTAAGCGAACGTCCATGTGCTAGTTGCTGGCCCGGGCATAGCAAGAGATCAGTGCTGATCTGGTAGGTGAAGGGCTCGATCCGCTTTACAACCGCCTTGGTGTCCTCGAGGAGCCAGGTAGAGGATCCGTCTTCCAGGATGTCCTTGTCCGTAGTGACAGTCCAGGTTGTCGGATCAACATAGATGATGTTGGTCTCTTCGCTGATGGTCAGGTGCGTGAGCGGGGCTTTTTCCCGATGGGTGATGTCGTGAAAAGCCTCCTTCAGGTGCTCCGCCCGACGTGCGCGTAGAATAGCACATCGTTGCCTGACGTTCCAGGATTCCAAGGCCTTGTAGTTGGCGTGGAAGTCAGTGTAGATTGCCTCCATGGTGGTGACGGTGGGCAACGTGACCGGAAATACACAGCAAGCCGCTGCCGTGGGAATGGGGCGAGTAGCCCACCACGAGCAAAAGCCATTCTGGAACCCCTTGGCCTTCTTGATGGCTTCCCAGGTGAGAAGGCGATACTCGATGGCCGTGGGATCGTTGCTGCCCCTGCGTAGGTTGTGCAAAAGCGATTGGAGCCTCCGGAGCTGCGTAAACCACCGGTGGTTGATCCGTCCCAGAAAATCAGAAGCCGGGAGGGCTTCTCCGTGTCTGCTCGGTTTGAGCAGGGGTGGCTGAAAAGGGCGATCCTGCGGATGAAGGTGTTGGCAGCGTCCTCGATGGGCAGGCAGAAGCCCAGGCCGGAGCGGCGCGATGGTGAAACCATCAAAGCTATCCTCGTAGCAGCGTCCAAATTCGTGGTAGTAGCTGGTGCCGGTCCCGGTGAACTGGTTGTGTGCTGGTGGAGCATGAGGTGATTGTTGCCAAGCGGGAACGTCTACAGAGGGCCATGGAATCTTGGCCGGCATCGGCCAGAAATGCTGTGGTGGAAGATCCATAGGGATGTCAAACCAGCCCGTGACAGCGGAGTGGTCGGAGAAGACGTCCAAGACATCCGCCTTGATGAAGTATTGTCGTAGTTCCGGGCTGATGAAAATCTGGTCTGGTCGCGTGCTCCCTTTGCAAGTAGGGAAGGGCCCTTCGTGGTGGAGTTGGGCGTGAAGAGATTGGACCTCGGTCCAGCCAAGGCTGATCCACTCCTCGAATTCAGGAAAGTCCTCGCCGTTGAAGTCTCCTGCCACGAACCGCGGGCCTGTCCGGCCGTAGATGATCTCAACCGAGAGCTGCTGGAGAAGGTTCCTTGTGGCCGTTTTGGCCTGAGGCCAAGTGGGTCCGGGCGACCAGCCGTAGACGACCGTGCCCAAGATCTGTGTCGAGCCCAGGTTGAAGACGGACGTCTGTGTGCGTCCGAGCGTGTACTCTGCGGCCGGAAGATGTAGCTGCAGCCTGTGAGCTGGGATGTCGCTGAATTGTAGTACTCCGGCCCAGACGCCGGTGGTCAGGCTCCTGGCGCGGAGCGGTACCGGGGCACCTGGAAGAATCCAGAGGCGGCGGTGATCGGCAGTTGCCGCGCGTCGTAGGGCGCCGCAGCAGGCCGACATGCCTGGGGGGGCCAAGTGGGTCTCAGCTAGGCAAACTATGCCCCTGGGGAGCTGGAACGCCACGTTCTCTTTGGAGCGAAGCCCGGTAGGGTTGGCTACCGTGATGGCAAACGGAGGACCCGGGTTGCTGGCCTCCCCGATGGGCGGGAACTTAGCCGAAACGGAGAGCTGCCAGTTGGTGTCGCCGTCGAGCAGGATCGAGGCATGAGAAAAAGGAAGCCCGTTGGCATATCCATGACACCCGGGGTGGCCCGACCCACATCCACGGTCGCGAAGCGCCGTGCTGACATAGAAGAGCCGGGCAAGGCCAGACCGGGGCACGGATGAGCCGAACGAGGTGGTAGTCGGTGTGTCGCTGCCGTGCAACGACTGAAAAGGCCAAAGGAGCTGACAGCGAAGCCTGAACAGCGAGATAAGGAGTGGGCGGTGCACCACACGGAGAAGTGCAAAGAGATGTATCCAAGCGTAGTGATGTAAGGCGCCTCCCCCCTTGGAGTAGAGGAGGACGCCCGCGGCGTGTCAAGCCGCCCTGCTGCGCTTCTCCAGGAGAGCCTCGAGCTGCGCAAAGCCGCGCCCCATGTTGTCCTGGAGTGATTCTTGGCCTGACTGGAGCGTGGCGACCTGGTGCCGGAGATCGGTGCGAAGGAACTCGACCTCCCGGCCTTGTTGCTCGAGTTGGTTGTGGATATGCTCGATTTTGGCGGACTGATTGGATGTGGTGGACTGCACCTCGCTGAAGTATTGTTCAAAGCGGCGGTGATGTTGCTGTAGCTCCTGGATGGAGACCTCCAGCTGGTTCATCCGGTTGTCCAGGCCAGTTGGCTCGGCATCCTCAACCTCCATGTGGGTGTCCTGAAGCTGAGCTCGGACCTGCGTGGCAATGTCCTCCTTGAGGCGAGCCTCAAACTGGTGGAGTCGGTCCGGGCCAGATGAGGCCGCCGTAGAACCTCCCCAAGGGTCCTTGGCCAGCCAGGGATCGACAGCGGCAGATGGAGCCGTGGTGGTAGCTGTCGAAGGAGCGCCTGTTTGCATGTGCCGTCGTGTGGAGGAGGAGGCCAAAACTGGAGCTGGAGTAGCTTGCTTGCTAACCGTCTTGATCAGGGTGATGGCGACATCGCCGAACGTGCCCTGCATGATCGAGGATGGTGGTGGGTCTTGTGCGCCAACTTCCCAAGCGCTGCCTTCAGGCCCCCCACCGGCTGCTTGCAACACTTTCGCGTTCCAGCCCCATTTGGTAATACAGTGCTGTAGCGCTCCTCGCTGCGTGCCGAAGGGCAGGGGGAATAGCCGATACACTGTTTGGATCCGGGAGTTCACGAAGGTGTCGAAAGGCCGCAAGGTGCTGTGTGCGGCTTGCAGGTCTGTGTGGTTGAACCGCAGCCCGTACTTGTTGTGAAGACGGCATACGCAGAGGGCCTTGTCCATCACGCTGAGCCTATGCTTGACGTTTGGAAGGTCGGCCCCAGGAATCCAAACCACCCCGAAGGAATCATCCGACAGCTTGCCACAAGGGGATCTGGGCTCAATGTAGACTCCGTGTGAGCCAGAGCTGGACTGGATGGAGCTCAGGGCGCATCTGGGGGTTCTGATCATGGCCGAGAAAGCCACGGCGTCCTTGGGCTGACAGAACTTCCCGGTGGTCGACATCCAGCTTCTGCTCCAAATGTCAAGTAGAAGCGACTCCAAGGTCTGATCGACCGGCGAGTGGAACTTCGGGCAAGTGGCACCGCAGCCGTCTGTTCGGCACAGCTGAAAAATAGGCAGCACCTCGACCAGGCCTCTGATGGGCCGCTCTTGGAAGTGGTTCCAGGAACCGGTCCACTCGTCCTTGTAGATGGTGATCCGGAGAGTTTGCGTAGTCACCACATCGAGATCGTTGATGTCCTCGTGTTTCCGGGTGATGGTCTTGGCACCAAGCTGTACCAAACTGCCCTGGATGAGCACCGGCTCCGAAGTGGCCTGGTAGTGCGCTGGAAATCGGCAGTTGGTGACATTGAGGGAGCCGATCATCTCGTTGGGAATGGGCACAGTGGTGAGAACCCCCAGCGCTTCTGTGGAGATTGTGACTCCTTCCCGCAAGTATGGAGCCAGCTCGTTGAGCCCTCCAAAAGCGAGCCCGGCTTTGCCTTGACCAATGTCCTGGAAGGCGATCTGTGGGACTTCCTTGCCGTCGTTGTCGACGAAGGAGCTCTGAATAAGGCTCAGCTGCTGAGGATTGATGTGCAGAGTCGCTGCGGGCTGTTTGCGCTCCCGGGGCCTGCGCTTGTTCTCGGATTGCTGCACGTGGAACTGATCCGACGCCCGGGCTCTGATCTTGGCGTTCAGCTCGTCGGCTTTGATCCACTTGAAGGAGAAGTGGGGTCGCGATGCGATGCTCTTGAGACACGCCCACGGTTGTGCCGCCTGGAGTGCTGATTGCAGCTCCGAGTGACCCAATTTCTTTAGGCCCAGAAGCGCTCGTTCTTCAGCTCGCGATTCCGGGACACCTTTGGTGATCAGGAGCTCTCGAAGGGCTGCCAAAAGATGAGCCTCATTCGGTGCGGGTTGCGGTCCGGTACCTTGGTGCTCCTCAAATGGTAGCACATGAAGAGCCTGTAGGTGCCGTTCCAGAAGCACGAAGTGGCTGTGTAGCTGCTTGAGGTCGCAATGCCGAAGGGCGTGGTCAATACCCGACATCCATACCAGGTGCGCCAGCAAGATCGTGCCACAGAGATCCGGGGCACATTGCTGGAAGACCGTGATCCAGCGGATGGCAAGGAGCTGCTTGTGCAAAGAATCAGCGAGGCCGGTCACAAACTGCCCAACCTCCTCGGTGCATGTGGAGGTGATGAGGCCGTCATAGCCTATGCAGCAAATCCCACTGTTGACCTTACGCAAGGACAGGAGAATCCAGTGACCTTGGCAGAGAAGGATGATGTCGAAGCCGCCAATATCCAATTGACGTTGTAGAGCAGCAAGAGGCAGCGAGGGCTGGTCCTCGATGAGCAAGTGAAGGAACGGGAGTCCAAAGCGTCGGGCATGGTCGGAGTTCATCAGAATGCCGGCCGCGATGTATTGAAGGAACGAACCCGTCAGTCCGGCCCGAGCTGACTGAACAGGGCCGGCACCCCGTGTAGAGGAGGTCCACAGTGTGGTGCAACGCCAGAGACGAATGCTAGGATCAACAGGATGGCCTCCTGCGTCGTAGATCGGGGTGCACGTATCCAGGCCCTCCTCCAGCAGAGCCTGGAACAAGAAGGAGCCGGAGGCAATGCCGAGCGTGATGGGCAACGGATTCATGTGGAGCGTGATGAAGATCATGCCTTGCGGTTGGTCCGAGGCTTGTCGCTTTGGCACTGAGCGGAGTTCATAAGGGCCTGACCTGCCCTGTGCTTGCAGCAAAGCATGCCGTGGGACAGGGCGACCGCCATCGAAGAGCTGCAGAGTGTGCCCCCATGACCGCCTGAAGTCCTCCGCCTGTAGTAGGTCTTCAACCGAGGTTGATGCTTGGCAAGTGATGTGGTAGGGCTGGTCATCAGCTTCACTAAGAAGGACGGGATGAGGTACCAGGGAGTTGGGAATCTGCCAGAAGTCGTGCATGGTGTCCAGTAAGTGGCTCTTGTAGTCGTGGAGGAGCTGCAGAGGTTCGATGATGGTGAACTCATCATGATGCACGTCAGCGCTTCGTCGCAAATGGGCGTAGACCCAGAGGCTCTGTAGCGGGGCTGCCGCCTGGCCCACCATAGGCAGGGAATCCCTGCCGTTCTGGTAGTGGTAGTCCGCCGGGAAGGTCATCAGGATGCCCGCTTCGGATGCATGCAGAAATCGAAGTGCTGCCTGAGGTTCAGGACGTACCCCAAAGCCACGGAGCCCTTTTCGTTGAAGCCTGCGCTCCTGCAGTCCTTGAGATCTGCATTGGCATGGGCAGCCCGTGAGGGCATGAGCGTAGGAGTGTAGGATCGTTGGGCATTTGGACGTAGGATCTAGTTCACGGGCGTCGCTGCCGTAGAGCGGGTCGTGGTACTTGATGAGCTCGGCCTCGGTGAAGCGCAAGGCCTGCTCCGTGGAGGCGCTCCAGACTGGCCATGTGCCGATGATGTCCTCCAGCTTCTGGTAGTCCTGGTCGTAGGGCCAAGAACGAAGAGCGATGCTGGGAAGTTGCTTCCCATTGAAGCAAGCCCACCACCGAGCTCGACGCATGGGCCATTGAGCACCGAGCTCCAGCACTACCTGAGTGAGGTTCCAGTCCATAGTGTCCGCAAAGGCTCGGAGCAAGGCCTGCATCTGAAGGTTGTAGCCAGCCTCGACCACGCATTCCAGGATGAGACCTGCTGCTTGGTGAAGGTAGGCGCTGCGTAGCACCCCCAGGATGGCCTGAGTGCGAGAGTCGCCAAAGGCTTGTCCATCTCCTTGCCTGCTGAACGGTTGGCATGGAATGCCAGCCGCTTCCACCGCAGGCTCAGTGCCTCCTGCACGATGAAGTCGGAGAAGGTCAACATCGTTGGTGGAGTCGCCCAACACGACCGGACAATTGAGGTTCTGCTCCAGGTGTGTGCAAGCAAAACTGTTGCGATCGAGGGCTGCGACCACCTTGGCGCCAGCCGCGACACATCCAGCTCCAATGCCGCCGATACCAGCGCACAACTCCTTGACCCGGGAGTAGTGCTCAAAACATAGGGGTTGGGCCAGAATGCAATCCGAAGTTGCTGTGGCCATCAGCCGCAGGGGTGTGTTCTCCTGCGCCAGGAAAAAGTAGAGCGTGTAGCGAGAGCCCTCCACAAGGGGGAGGTCCACCAAGATCGGCAAACCCAAGCCGACCAAAGTGCACCTAGTGGCGCCGCCCTCCATCTGCTGCTCGGCAGCGACCACTCCGGTAAAAAGCTCCCCGGCGATCGGGGCACCCATCCAGCTGTTCCACACCATGGCTCCCTCCCCGAAATTCGCCGTCCCCCGTTTCGCCACTGGGAGGCTTTCGGGCCGAAACTACCGTGGTCCAAACAAAATACAGCTTCAGCAGCTAAAGCTGCTTTCTGGGATCTCATTTTACGTTGCATGTTTTAGTTTAAACTTCTCCAAATGTGGACATGAATCTGAACATATGTTTGTTGCTGGGCACAAGAGCTGCGGCAGCTTCTCTCAACCCACCAAAAATGACCCATGAAACAAGATAGCGAAAATCAATGAACATTAAACACAAGTTCGAAAGCAAGCTCGGCCCGTGTTAACTGCTTGGAGGGATCTCCAAGCCCGAAGTAGCTGTCTGCGGGGATTTCCCAAAGACTAGAGAGGCTAACGATCCAATCAAGTAGCATCCAAGTAACAAGGCCCACGTGTACCGGACGTGACAAATGTGGCACACCTATTGCGCCCGCCGCCTTGCTAAGGGCGCGGGGCCTGTTACACCAACAAGGTTGGCCCTTGTTGTCAACCCTCTAGATTAGTTTCTGTCCCTTGTCGCCCTTTGGCCAAGGAAACATGTGCAGGCATACATACGTATATCTACTGCGTAAGCCCACACATGTTGCATTCATTAGACAACTGTTCCTCTCCCCGTCGCTGGACTCTAATCCCCGCCTACACGGGAAGGCGAACCTCAGCGGAAGAACCTGCCACAGGGCTGGGAGTTCCGAGTTCTGAGTTGCGAGAGGTTACCCTTGAAACATTGGGTACTGGATTGCCTGGTTCCCCAAACTGGACAAACAGCCCCAACTAATACATGTCTTCAACAAGAAGATGAAAAACCCACCAAATTCATCAGCAGCCAGGGATCCACTTGAAAGTGAGCGCCATGCGCGGCGAAGGGAGCTGGAAGTCGGCGGGATTGTGGGGTGCCTGAGGTGACAAGGGCGAAACGCTGATTTAATCTTGAAGAGCTTGCTCGGAACAGGCTTGAAATGGTCCAAAATGAATTCCGAAAGCAAGACAGCAGTGCAAAGTTGGCCCTTTTTGGAAGGAGGGGTGCGGGGTGCCTGTGGAAGCCGTGTTCCAGAGCGATTCCCCCCAAGAACCGCAATGCGTTTTGTGCCTCGTGGCTCTCAATGATGCCTGGAAAATGCTTGAGGGGAAGGCTCAAGAAGGCATGGGAAATGGGAAGCTTCTCCTGAACCCTCGCGCCTGCATTTCCAGGCCATAGATGCCAGAAACAGCTCTGACTTTCTACCCGCGGCCTTAGGAGAAACTGACGGCCAATTTGCTCGCTTCCCAAGATCCAACTCGTGCCATGCTTCCAGGGTTCAAAGGAAACATACCAATAGGTCCGAGAGAAACAAAGAGGTCGTGTTCTAAAGTCTGGCGTGAAGTGGTCCAAGACCATACGTGACTTTCTTCTTAGCGTAACGTGTCGCGGCTTGTTCAACAACAACACTCTACCAATCTTACCGGCTTTTGGTGACTCTATGGCCGACCAACGCCCCCAAGAGATTTCTGTCAATGAAACAATCTGTTCGGATACAGCAAGCACTTGTGGTTTACCAGATGCTGCGCGATTGGCCTGTCCAAAAGGTAATGTGAACCACCCAAAACGGGACAATAGGGTTGGACCTGGCAAACAGACCGTCAGTTTTCACCAGTCCAAGCGAAAGGTGAGAAATACGGACACCTAGCAACGGGTTGCTTTCCTGGTGGGAGAAGCTTGGCCCACAAGCCCCGGAAAATCCAAGTTTTGCGCCCTTGGAACTTGGGTCTTGTGCGGCCCGATTTCCTACGGAGCTGGACCTGGGTGCCATGGCTGAGACACTCTTGGACAAAACAATGGAAAGCTTGCCAAGCTGTGTTTAAAGTGCCTTTTCAGGCAACATGGGTCACTGGATGACCTTGTGCTAGATCGTCGTTTCAACCATTCTGAGGTTCTGTAACGGCGGGTTCCCCTATGTTCCCCTGGTGTTGCAGTTTGGGTGGTCTGAAAAGAAGCCTCCTTGGGAAAAATGATTGGAAGTTACAGACCGAAGGCCTCCTTTGAGGCCAATCACGTGGCACAGCTTTCTGCACCCAGGACGAGAAGTGGCAGCTTTCTGCACCCTGACGCTGAGCGAGACGCCGAGCGATTCATTTTGCCTTTCGCAATCCGATCACGAGGCGCTGTGGTAATCTAATCTGCATGAGACCCGACCGGCACGAGATTGCGGCAGAGATTCATTTGAAGTCGGACCCCCAAATAACGCTCGCCATCAAATGGACGGGATGTGGACATTTGCCAACTGGTCCTTCTATGTCTTCTTCACTTACTTGTCCACGGTCCTGTCAGGAGCGATGGGTAGATCCGCATTAGCAGCACCTCGTGATGAAGCTGATGGAGCGTCGTGTCGCGATGCAAACGGAGCGCGCTGGGTCCAAGTCGCCCTGTTTCACTCACCACTCATCTCGAATTTCCGAACTACAAGATCTCTCCCAATCCATGCTATATAAATATATGCAATCGTTCACCTGTCCGAAGCATCACACAAAGCACAGGTCCAAACAAAACGGCAAATGGTTGATCTTGGATTCAAAAGTGGAAGTCCAAGAAAATGAAAAGAACACGGCAGGTTTCTTTTGGACAGAGCTTGGAAGAGCTCTCTCTGGAGCATTGCGCCTTGCGCGATGTCCAGCGAATCTCAAGCTCGGTGGACCACTTCAAAGGGAACCCAAGGACGTTTAAGTTCACTTGACAGCTTGGGACGTGAGTTGGTCGGATAACATCACGCCGCTTCGTTCACCACCAACATGCTCTTCCCAAAACGTTGAAGTTCAGCCCCGGTTCCATGGCCGCCCGAACCCCAGCACTTGAAGTTCCCCAGGCGACTGGCCGGAAATCACGCTCCGTCGGACAGAACTGAGTGGAAATGGCGTTGCCCGGAATCATCGCCAATGCTTGACCGGAAGCAAGCGTCGAATGAAAGATGCTGTGACTAGTGCAAGGGCTCATGGGGCCCATGGAAACAGCCGGTTCGAACCTTGAGTGTCCAACACGCAACACACGTTGGTCAACAAACCCACCGTCCCAAAAGACACTGACGTCTAGTTGAATCTGGACGCATCAGTTGAGCGTCTCGAGTTCTGAGTTTCAGGGCAGCCGCGGGAAAGGCGTCTGCTTCGAGACCAACTCCTACAGCAGATGTGCATTCATGCAAACGGAATTCGAGGGCCTTTAGAGTGTGATGAAGAACACATGATCTTGTTGATTCGTTACTTTTTCCGTACCTTGTTAGTTGGTTGGAGGGTAGATTCTAGGCTCAATTGAACTCCAACCGGACTTGGCCCAAACGTTTCCAAGGCTGATATATGAAGTCATGGCCATCTGCGGTCCCTTTGGCATTTGATTTGCCGTACTCGCGGTTGATTAACCCAATGGGGTCTTTTGACCATGGCACAGACCTTTGCATATGATGGAATGGTCCAACGGACACCCAGGAATGCCGATGCCCCTCAAGCATTCTGCGTGCCAACTCATTCCTGAGAACAGATTCTGGTTTGCTTTGGACTCTGCGCATGTGTCATGTGGAACCAGGTGGAACCGGTCTCTGGCTTGCGGCCTGGACCGCCAAGCAGGACAGCTCCGGCACGTGTGACACCCAGAGCCGCGCGCATGAAATTTGCATTAAAGTATATTATATATATATATATGTTGTATGTCAACCCCATTCGATCGTGTTTGCGCGTGTCCCCCAAAGCGTCAGCTTTCACACACAGACAAACAAACAAACAAACAAACAAACAAACAGGCAAACCGATCGACCAAATCAATCCGACTTGTAGACAAATAGGAAAGCGCTCGCATAGGAAGAGGACATCTCCAGCAACTGGGAGCCCGCATCCCCCCCGAACATTGTTGCCCTGCACCTGGCAAGGGAAGATCTGTGGTTCATGCTGGATCCCTCTATTGAGGCCCGGTACCCCCTCCTTATATTGAAGGAGACTGTTTAGTAGCCTTTGTTAAAAAGACTGTAGAGTAGGCCATGGGTTCTATACGTATGTAAGCAACAACAACCAGTCACGGCCATTTTCCAATCAACAAGGAAGCAAAGAATCACAAGCCTAAAGCATGGCTTCCAAGTTCTAAAACTTGAACCATAGATTTCAAGCTGATTGTTCTGCAAACGCTGAAGTTTCATTTACTCGACCCTTCACGTCCCAGGAAAAATCCAACCCTCGACTGGACGTTATTCATCCCCTGGCATGTGTATAGATGCGTAAAGATATATGCAAAGATGTGTGTATGAATGCATGGCAACTATGCTTCGAATTTGGAGCCCTAGGGAACTCCATTCTTCAAGGGGCTCGTTTATGTAAACTCGTACACGCCCGCATGACATTGACTAGGTAATTATTAGATATATCGATCACACAAAGCGAAGTTTACACCGGAACAGACCTGAGAACAGGGAGGCCGTGTTGTGGTTTTAGGGTTTGAGAGGGAAACCCAAAACATCATTTTTTTTTACCTGGAAACAGTGCCAAAGTCTACCTCAGCTTCACTAGAACTGTAGGTTCATGCCTTTTTTAGATCCCCCGGCCATGGTTTAAAGACTCATACATGAGCGTACAAAATATCGACCCAGGAGCACCATAGGTGCCTAAATAGTTGGAACCGCCTTGTGGGGTGCACCCAAATTTTTCCAAATAGAAACATTTCATGGCAATTTCTGCGGGGCCATGGGGTGCCGCGGAAGAAAACTCTGGGTAGGCCCTGCTCAGAAGTCTTCTCTGAGCGGCGGGCGCATGGCCCAAGTCGCCCCGTTGCAGGGGCGCACAAAACATCCATGTTCAGCCACTTGAACCCGGCGACGTGGGCAGAACATGTGCGGTGTCAACGAGGCAGCAAACAAACACGCATGTAAAAACACGTCTCAAACATACAAATCACCAAAATCAAGATGTTTGTGTGGTTTTTACATGCTAAAGTAAGGGCTATCTTGCTTTACAGCATCAGGCCTTCTGATTCAAGCTGTCAAGTCGCGTTTGATGTCGCCACCGTCGGATTCAGCCATTTGCGACGGTCCAGGCTCAGAGCTTGCACATCAAGTGGTGGCTAATGGTAAAGCCCGAAGGAAGCCACACGGGGCCAAAATCCATTCCCGGCTTTCTTGAACACAGGGTATGGCATAAAATTTGATGGACCCAATGGAACACTTGCCATGAGAAGTGATTCCGGACTAAGCCACCCATGGTGAACTTTGCTTTCCAGCTAGATGCTGCTCTCGTCAATCGAGGCCAAATGAGTTCGTTGCTGGTGTCTACGATTGTTCGTGCTTTGCCTCCTGCAGGGGCCCGCGGCTGAAAGTCCTTCAAAGGGAGGTTTATCTGAGTTCATTCAATTTGGCAAGTGGCCCCCAAACCACCAAGTTTGAGATACATTGTTCATAAAGAACTTGCAACAACAACACGCGCCGACTGGAGTGCCCCGCCCGCGCCTGCAAAACAAGAGGAACAAGCGCCGCAGAACAAGAAACAAACGACGTGGAGTGCCGCCAAAACCCTCATGTGCGAAACTGGAATATCTTTCATGCCTTCGTTTTTAAAGACTCCCCCTCGTTCTTGAGGCCGTTTGGTGCGCGCGATATGCAACAGCTCTTCTCATGCCATTGGGAAAGGATACAACAGCTCTTCTCAGACGATCGAAAAATTATCTCTCCGAAAGCGGCCGTGCTACTGGGAAAAGCATCCTGAGCTCTCCTCACTCGAACACAACCAGCTCTTCTCGTACGATCGAAAAGTCTGTCTCTGAAAGTGGCCGTGCCAAAGGCATCCTGAATGCAACAGCTCTTCTCAGAAGATCGTAGACCTCCACAGCTGGGCCTTCTCAGGAAAGGGAAAAGCCCGTCTGGGAATTCTCAGGAAAGGGCAAAGGGGGGGTTACTCATCCGATGTAACACAAGCCCACACTCTGCATCAATCATCCATCCTGTTGGAGTCCTAACACGGTCGCTCTGAGCCGGCGGACTCGTTGTACATGTTGACGACGCCAAGCTTAAGCTGTCCTATTCGAGAAACACGCCAGCATGCAAGAGAGGCTTTGGCCCCGCTTCTTACATGCGCAAACCTTACTTCCTGGTCAGGACTTGTTCTTTAAATCGATCCCCCTGTTGCCAGTTCATTGGCCTGGCCGGGCTTCAAAAACCACAACTTGTCTGAAGATCATAATCACCAAGTTTTGAAACCCTCCACCAGCGCTGAGCACCTGAGAATCGACTTACAGGCCGCAAGGCCACGCTTTGACTTTGACCTTCAAGGCTTTCCAGGAAAGCGAGCCGCCATCGGAGTCCTGCCCAGCGACAACACCCTTAAAACGAGCAACGGGGAAGGGCCCGTGTTCTCGCAGTGGGCCGTGCCGTATTTGACCTAGGGGGTGGTAACTTGGTAAGCAACCTTGTGTTGGTTGCCTTTTCCAACGAAGACATAGGACAACGCACACAACGGTATTCCTCCGAGCTGAGCGCTACAACACCACTGAAAGAGTACTGAAACGGCACTAGTCGGGGGGGGGGGGGGGTCGAAACCACAAGGGTGAGGCACCCAAGCTAAACTTCTAGAGCAGGGTAACAACTGCAAAAACAAACGGCATGTATCAAGACAAAGCAGGCAAACGGCCAAGAAACACACACACAACACACAAACAAAACAAATAAAACAACACACAAACAAACACACACCGCGCAAGCAAACAAGCACTCAAACAAACAGACAGGCCGACAGAAAGACAGACAGACAGACAAACAGACAAACAAACAAACAAACAAATAGACAAACAAGCAAACAAGCAAACAAGCAAACAAGCAAACAAGCAAACAGCCCAACTTACCCAACCTAACCAAATCGGCGGCGAAACAAACACTCAACAAAACAAGGAAATAGAACTACAAGAGCGGCTCGCCCGACATCTGATGTCAAACGCTTGGCGCGGTCTTTGGCTTTCTGCACGATTGGAGTCCATCACGGGGACTCCAAAGCAAGCTCAAATCTTAAAGTAACACGCGCTTTTCTTCTGCAAGTATGCTGGCGTGAGTTCGCGCTGCGCAAGTTGCTCTGAGCCAGTTGCCCTGTGGAAGTGTTCTTTGAAAGTTGCTTTGTGCCAGCGCTCTATGCAACTTGCTCTGTGCAAGTGCTCGGTGCGACTTGCTCTACAGGTCGCGCTGTGCAAGTTACTCTTACGCAAGTTGCTCTGCGCAAGTGTGCGCGTGTTATTGTTAAGCATAAACCAAAACAAAACAATGCGAGCGAGAAAACATCCTGCGACCAAGCAACTAGACATATGTAAAACAAAATGTATATATACATATATACGCGCCGACTTATACGACCGATTTTCAAGGACCATCCTGCGACCAAACGACATGGTATAGACGCCCTGGGCAAAGCATTTTCGGCCGCCAAAAAAAAGAATGACCAGCACCCTACGTATGTAGGTAGGTGTGCATGTGTGTACGGATCCAGTCACGCATGCGTGCGTGTGTGCGTATGTGTGTGTGTGTGTGCGAGGGTGCGTCTGTGTGAGGGTGCGTCTGTGTGTGTGTGTGTGCGTGTGCGTGTGCGCCGTGCATTTGTAGAGAATGTATGTGTGCATGCACGTGTGTGAGAAACAGAACATGTTTCTAAGCGCATGTGCGTGTTTGCTTGTACTTATGCGTGTGTTCTACCTATGTACGCTGCATGCATGTGTACGGGTGTGTGAATGTGTGTGTACATGTGCGCGCGCTTGTGCATCAGTGGAAGCATGCGTGTGTGTGTGTGGGCGTGCGTGTGTGTGTGTGTGTGTCGTGTGAACAAGTGCTTGCGTGCGCATGTAAAACGTAACGCGACGTCATGTAGTGCAGTGAAGCGCGGTACGCGCGCACATGGTAGGTAAGCACGCGCAAACCGACGTGCATTTGTACCTTGACGCGTACACATCTGCGCGTGTGCGCAAGAAGGTGTGCGCGCAGGCGCGTGTACCTTGCTAGGGGTGGCCGCAGGCGGGTGTCTGAGGCAGTAACACAAGGCGTGGTATAAGAAGAGCCGGAATCTCCACGAGCCCCAAGCCAGAAGACGCGGCCGGGGCTGCTGATAGAAGGACTGCGACACACACACACACTGCTGCAATGTCACTAACAGTTTGTGACGGGCTTCTAGCCGAGATTCTTCTGCAAAGAAAAGCTTCAACGAAAGGCCCAGCCGCCGCAGCAACCCAAGCCCCGTCGCAGCGCCCTCCGCACAAGTTCGGCCACCCTCGGATTGGCTTTCAACCGCCCAACTGGCCAGCGCAAGGCGCGCAGACAAGACAACTGTTGGCTTTGGAACACAACTACAAGCGAAGGGCGCCCAAGGCTACCGAAAGTCAAGGCCTAAGATGAGTGCCCGAAACCCCAATCTAAGCTACGACGACAACTGTGCACGGCAAGGCTTTGCCAGCAGGCTGGGGACGCAGTCGAGAAAGAAAGACATAAATACACTTTATGACAAACAAGCACATAACGAAAGAAGAATTAAAACACACACAGAAGCAAAGGCACAACAAAAACAACACGCACATCAAACAACTAACAAGCAAGGAAACACACACAAATGCACAAATGCATACACGCACAGTCCTCACTGTCACTGTCGTCGAAATTGCTGCGCTTCTCCTTCACCATCCGCTGCAGCTTGTTTGGGGAGCGAGCCACGGAGCGTAGGAAGGTCCTTGGTGCGCAAGTTTTCGACTGACCCTGAAAACCCACTCTCACAGAGGCGAGCGCGAAACCAAAAAGGGAGAACAAATGGTGCCACAACCCTGCCCTGCAAAATAACATCCAACATTGTTAAAAGGGAAACAGCAAAAACTAAAACACATGCAAACAGGGGCCTCTCAGAGTGTTCGCCAGTGCAAGAAGCTTAACTTGCGGGCTAACAGGAAAATAACGCTATTGCTCCATCAGATCTCTTTTTAGGTGATAGTGACCGGCGACTATTTCCGGCCATCACGGGCCCTAATACAAACAACTACACGGATTGCGACTCAGCCAGGTTAGTAGCACCCCGTGGTCTGCGTCCAAAAGGTTGATCAAACTGCTTGGTTTCTAGGGAAGCCTTCGCATTTTCCACCAAGGATCGTCAAGTTGGCCACCCCATACTCATGCAGCACACGGTTGGGCGAAAGCGCCACATCCTGCCAGTCGAGGCAAGCTCATGAAGGTTCCTGATTTGGGACCTGCAAATAGCCACCGCAACCAACGGAAGCCTTGAAGGAACTTCCGTGTTACGTGCACGAGCTGAGAGGCAGTTCTGCGCACAGGTGACATGAAGGAAGAATGAACGCATTCGAAAAACATGCCTGGACGTGTGGCAAGGAAAAGGAAGTGCTAAAAAGTAACCCTCCGCCGGTTTTTGCGTTCTTGGCGGGCTGCAAGTTTCGCGGCAAGCGCAGAGCTCTCGCAAGGGCAGGCGCGGGTTTTGTGGCAGGCGCCGGCACTGTCGCAAAGTCTGGTGCAAATTTCGTGGCAGGCACATCACTTGCGCAAAGCCAGGCGCAAATTTCGTGGCAGGCGCAGCACTGTTGTGAGGTCAGGTACAGATTGCGCGGCAAGCGCATCATGACAGTGCAGATAGCTAGATAGATAGATAGATAGATAGACAGATAGGTAGCTAGATAGATGAACAGATAGATGGATAGATGGATAGACAGATCGGTAGATAGATTGATAAACAGATAGATTGGTAGATAGATAAGTCGAAAGACAGATAGGTAGATAGATGGAAAGCTGTGGTGGGTGGATAGATGGATAGATGCATAGAAAAAAAGTATTGAAGAACATGGATAGAGGGTAGACAAAGATAGATAAACAGATTGACGGACAGACAAACAAAGAGAAACAGCGATAGATGGAATAGGTCGGTATGCTCGTGCGCAGATTCGCGAGATACATGAAACAGATAAGAACGGATGTCATAGATAGATGTCATAGATAGATCAGATCAGATCAAATAAAGACAAGCTAAGAAAACGACAGACAAGGCACGATGCCAAAAAAAGATTCAGTACGAACGCCGAGATAAGATAAGAGCAGAAAATAAGGCAATGTTTGGCCCCCAGTTGAAAAAGTACCCTCTATTGTAGCAGTTTTTGGGACTTGTGACTGCTTCGGGGTCCTCAATTGTGGCCATGTCATTGCCGGCGCAAATGCGGGGAAAAATGCAGGGCAAACAACGAGTGGCAAAAAAGTCGGACAAAAAGCGGGCAAACAAACACGGGATTCAATTGAAGTGATCCCCCAACCATCAATTTAAAGATAACTTCATTACAAAGAAGCAACGGCAACCATGCGCGCAAGCGGGGCTGCCCACAAGAGGCCCTGATCCTCTTTATTGTGACTGTTTTGGGGCCCTCTTTAGTGTCCAAGGGAGTGAAGTTCTAAGGCCTCAGCATTTCAACAAGACCTAACCAAGCTCTCCCCAGCTTGGAGAAAGCTCCCCAAGCCATCAAAGCACATGGGCCCATGGCTGCAATGAAACTGAATCCAACAGTGCATGCCGGCACAGGAAGCCTAAGGACTGTTAACGCTTGGTCATCCCTTCCTCTATCCTTTCTCTCTTGGTCATTCCCCTCTCTCCCTTACCTGTCGCAAGAGCAGGAAGGAATGTCTTGGCATGCCCCACCCTCAATCGAACAGAGGGTGAGGGGTGATGAAGACCAAATGCTTTCAATATCCCCTCTTTGGTTGTGGGAGAAAGAGGCTGATTAAAGCAATCGGTATACCTTCGTGAAAAAATATTAACGCAAACAAGTAGGATGCTACCATGCAATCTATCACTTCCATGTCTTTCCCATTTTATCGTTTGATGGGAATGGAAAGCGGGAAATGCTACAATAAGAACCAAATGATTAAATCACAGTAACAAATAACAGATGTCTTTGGGGAGGAAGCAAATAGTAAACAAATGACAATCAGATAAACAGAAAAAGAAAGAACAACTAATGATTGATTGTTGAGCCTCTTTTCATTCATTGCGTGATCTGGGCAGGCAATATTCTGATAAGATAACATTACTAGGATAGAGATGGGGAAGCCCTTCCTTCCGTCACTTCTAGCGATGAATATGTTGGTACTACTTTTAATTAAGATTTGTTCGGGTTTGCAACTATTAGCTTATTTCAACTTGGGAACTTGGAAGGTGAAAGCGAACCCACAAAAAGAGAAGGTGAGAAATGAATTCCAACCGATACAAATTGCATACAAATAGATAGCCTTTCGTCAATAGTTTTCCGTTCTTCTCCAAACTCTTTGATTATTCATATCCTTTGCTTTCTCGCCTAAAACTCCAGAAGGTTGCAAGTAAAAAAGGGAGAAGCAAGGAGTGAGTGAGAGATATTACAAAGGAGGAAATTCTAGTAGAACATGAGCGGAAAGAAAAACAAGTACATAAGTTCCATGAACAAAGACCAACAGCCTCTGCAGAAGCGAACAATCTATGTTTATCATTTGCTTTTCTTCTTCATCATGCATGTGTATCTTCTCCAAAATATATGCATAGATTGGGTGAAGTGATCAGGGGGTGAACTTGAAGTCAACAATTACAGAATCTTGCAAGTCTCATATCTTATTTCAGTTTGGTATTTTAGCGTGTTTTCTATCATATCCATCATTCTCCACTCTAGGCTGATCGCTGTGTTGGAGAGGGTTTTTGATGAACAAGAATCATTTGGTTCCAAATGAAACGTACTTGAGGGCGAGGTAAACAATAAACTGTTTCATTCGTTAACGCTTTTATTTCTTTCATATTCTTGCAATTTCTCATAATTGTTTCTCGGAATTGTCACTAAATTTGATAGCCGCGAAAGACGGGAGAGCGGAAGGAGGGTTAACCAGTTCCTCTTCTTGCAGGTTATTTTTCCCATCCAGATGCGTCTAAAGCGAGAGTGCGAGAGAGATTGGGAAAAACATGAGAAAGATAAATCGAATGGTTACAAAGTGCAAACGTAAATGAGAATGTAACCAGACTATGAACGTATTCTTGGAAATTACTAACTTTCCTGTCTATCTTGATAATGTTCTTTTCATCGCCGATCCAGTTTAGTCACTTCATACTGTTAACAAAAGACACCAAAGATAGACATCGAAACGATACATAGAATGGTAAACCGAAAGGCAATAACGACATGTCAAAGATTTCATTCATTTCCTAGATAAAGTGGAAGAGATAGAAAGGAAAGGGTACAAGCTCCTGGTACCACGAACCAACCTCTCTTCCTCCATGACTTGGACAAGGAAAGGACGTCGGCGATGAGAAGACCGAGTCCTTACACCATCCCATGATCTAAGACTCTATTGTTGTCCTTTCATTTCCAGAAGATTATTGGCTAAAGAAGAGATACAGCTGGCATTTCCCGATAATAGGATTTTTTGGTTTTGCAATTAAATGTTGTTGGGTTGAAGATGTTGGTGGGTGATAGCGGGCGGGAAAGGGACAAATAACTTGATCTTGGAATTACAAGCTTTGTTGTTGAACATGTCCTTGTGAATGAAGCGAAGTCCGAAGAGCCTGGCAAAATACAACATTACTAGATGGGGTTTATAGAACCAATTGACACGTACTAATCTCAGGAAAATGCCATCCACTTCTCACATTGCCCCACTTCCTCAATGAGAATGCTACCAGTAGAAGCAAGACAGAAGGAAGCGAGTACGCCATGTACATCTTCCACCTGTTAAGCATCGCGCAGCATCATATCAATGACAGCATATTCTTGAGAAAGAGGTGAAGAGAGGCTTTCGACAAAAGCCAATTCTTTCATCCTCAGTTAAGATTGATGGGCGCTAAGTTCTGTTCCAGGTGCTTTACTTATTCATTTCCAAAACATGGCAATGTAAAAGACAAGACAAGGAAAAAGACAGGCATCCCTTCCTCCCGCCCATTTCTCTCTTTTCGCTGGGCGGGGAAAGGAAAGGTCATCTTCTTCCACTTAACTGTTTGTTGTTTTAGAGAAGCAGGTTATGGAAAGAAGAAGAAGAATACGATTGGAAAAAGATTAATGATTGGCTTTCTATTGCTACAACCTGACAAAGAAGAAAGCCAATATCCCGTTCCTTCATCCCACATGTAGACCGTTCCACCGTGGTCTTTCATAGTGACATCCAAAGTTAAGCATGGAGTGGGGAAGCGAAAGGGGCGGTAAGTTAAAGGTGGTACAGTTCGTCTTCTTCCAATCTTCTCCCAGTAATGGCGATACAGCTGGAGAAGAATGAACGGAGGCGATCTTCTCTCTCCTTCTTTCACTGCAACACGCGATTTCTGGGATTCTTCGAGGGCTGAAAGGGAGAGAGAAGAAGATGATGAATGAAAATGTTAAAAAAACTTCAAACAAAACAAAGGAAAGAAGACAACAAGATCCTATTAGTCTTTTGATGTTATAACGGATGCTCTTGGTCATGTCACATCTATATTAATTTGAGAGGCGAGCTAACGAAAGCTAGCCTAGCACGAAGGCTAGCCTAGCTAGCCCAACGACGACATGTACGACTCAGGAGTTGCTAGGGCTAGGATATTAAGACTAGCAGTCCTAAATGAACGTCTAGTCATGTCTAGAAAGACAGGTTCTCCAGCCGCAAACATGTGGACGAGATTATGGGGAACACGGGCGTGCCGGGGGCTGCACAGAGGGGAATCGAGCCCCTGCGTGGGTGGGGGAGATGAAGTGAGGCATCGTGAGAAGCTCAGCCCCTAAAAGAAGCTAAAGCCTAAAACCCCCCGCTACGCTAGCACACCTAGCCTTCGTGATATGTGGTAAGTCGAATAGCTTCTGCAAGCGCCACCCATAGTCTTCTTTAGCTTTGTCATAACTGTTCCGCATCCTTTTCATTTTTGGGAATTACTTTAGGATGTAGAAGGTAGGATTTAAAAAAGGAATCAAGGAGAGATATGCAATTTGTTACCTTAATATTACTACTGCTTGTACATGCTTTTGTTACATCTTGCTAAATCTTACCCATCCATAAATGCAAATAAAGGATGAGGATGGATGGGCAGGAATCCTTTGGAAAAGGCCTGCAAAGACACGCTGGAAGGGATAGTGAAGGACCTTCTATCATGATATCCTATCGGACATGCTGTCTGGTTTTGTGCTATGTGATGTCTGTGCAGAAGCTTTATACCTTCCTACCAATTCAAATTACCGCAATGTATTCTCATGAAGCTAGTAGTCAGTCTCTGTTCTTTCATCCATTACCCTTGCCGTCATCACTTGGTCGCGGTAAAACCTCTGAGTCTGAGATACACATGAAGTTTTGAGCTTTGACGGCAAGGGCAAAGCATGTAATCCCAACAATCCCAGCTACGACTAAGTGGGTGACCATTAGCTTCCTCCATATGTTTCTATTTTACGGTTTTCTCCGTCTCTTTCTCCACCAGGACTAACCAATGTGAAACTTCTTCCAAACGAAGCATGTTACAGAAGATGTCCTCTCTCTCGCTTACCTATCGTGCGTTTATTTCTTTGATGAATGGGCTGTAGGAAGCAAAGCAATGGTAAGGGGACAGAGTGAGAGATATAGAAAAGAGTATGAATTCGAGATCCTAAAGAAAACCAACTGCATGAAAATAAAAGGAACAACATTCTAATGACGCACCAAATTCTGCGAATTAATATGCAAATGTTGTAATTATTGGGCGCTGTTTTACAAATTTTACAAGCTTTGCATTTTGGCAAAATGTGTAGCATCTGAATTCTTACAAAATTTTCAAACTCAATTCAACATTTACTCTGGGGAATATGCTTTCAAGGCGACTTGGCTGGAATTAAATTACACATTTTGCAAATTTTACATTTTCAAGTTAATGTGTAAAACATGCCCACCGTATGGTTGTATAAGCTGCATTTCTGGGCATGGCTTTTGAAAAAAGAACTGCAAAATTTACAAATGAATTTGCGAATAAGAATAAGTTCGAATTCAGGAAATTCAGGATCCTACTTGTTGAAGTCCACAAATTTACAAGTCCAATTCATATTTACACTTTGGAAATTGAAACTACATTTTTTGCTAATTGTAAAAATCATACAAACAAATTTGCAATAAAAATCAAAAGCCTAGTCCAACATTGCAAATTTTGTAAATTTCCACAAACTACTTTGCAACAAAATAAAGAATTGCAAACAAAGCAGGTCCAGAATTAGACTATTTACAAATGGTTTGAATTTAGTTTGTAAAATTTGTAGAATTCTGCAAAGAAATCTGACCCAACAGTTTCCAAAGCTTACATATCATTCTGTCAAAAATGAAAAAATAAAAAAAGGCCCCGAAATCATTTTTGAACAAATTCTTCTCTGAGAAAAAAGTTTGGTAGGAACGAAAGTACGAATTTGGCAAACTTTGAAAATTTCAAGAAACAGGCCCAAATTACAATGTTTACGGATTAGTTTGTAGAGTTTGAGAAAACCAAGAAGACAGACCCAGACTTGCAAAATTTACAGTGTTTACAAATACTCTGAGAAATTGGCGTTCAAGGGGCTTTGGTTGGAATTAAATGCAAAAATGTAAAGTGTCAAAAGGAATCTGGCCCAGATAATAACACCAGTCTAGATACAAATTTGACCAGGTCTAGATACAAATTTGACAAATAATTTAAAACAAATAAGATCAAGAAAGGCCTGGTCACGTTTTGAATCAGATTTGGTTGGAATTGAACTACAAATTTGGCAAAATAGATTGTAAAAGTTGCATGTTTTGTAAATCCAAAAACTCTGGCCCAAAATATTTGCAAAATGTCAGAAAAACCTGGTTCAGAATTACAAATTTTACAGATGTTACAAATTCTACTCTGGGAAATTGGCTTGCAAGGGGGTTTGGTTGGAATTAAATTACAGTGTGTACAAAATTCCACAAACTTGAAGATTCATCTGCAAAAATGTTCAACAGAACAAACATGGTCGGTCCAAATTTACAAATTTTAGCACTTTTTGATTTTTTGCAATTACAAATTTTGTATTGAAAGTGTACGATTTCTAATTTGACCCCAGCCAAATCTTCAGAGTAGAACTTGCAAAGTTAGTAATTCTGGACGAGGTTTTATTGCCAATTTACAAAGTTTACAAATTAATTCGTAAAATTTGCCAAATGTGTAATGTTGGGCCTAGTTTCTTGAAATCTTGCAAAGTTTGCAAATTAGGTTGCAAAATCTTGTAAAATTGACATGTAATTCCAACTAAACCCCCTTGCAAGCCAACTTCTCAAAGTAGAGTTTGTAACATCGTGTAACTCGCAATTCTGGAACTGAATTTGTTGAAACTTTGAATATGTGGACCACATTTTTTTAAACATGTTACAGATTAATTTGTACATTTTGGAATTGTGTTCCTTTCAGATCTCCTTGCAAACCAGTTTCTCCGAATAGAATTTGTAAAACTTGGAAAATAGATAATTCTGGGCCAGATTTTTACAATTTGCACAAGTTCAACAAATCTGCTCCAGAGATACACATTTTGCAAATTAGTTTGTAAAATTTGCAAATGTTAGGAACCAATTTGTGAATATTAAAAGAGTGAAATTCATTCCTACCAGATAGCCAGTCCTGATGTTGATGCCCAGACAAAGCAAACCTTCTCCCCGGCACATTACTCTGCCCTCTTCCGGGGGGGCCGGGTAAAGAGGAGGGTCCAACATCATTCCTTGCTCCAAAAACGGCCTTCCGCCTCGCCCCTCCGCGAATCTTCCGCAAACTTCCGCGAAGCACACACTTTTTCGCACGTGCCTAAACCTCTGCAGGTTTCCGTAAAGAGCACGAAATAAGAAATAGAATAAGAGTGGACTGAGGACGGAAAGGAGAAGGCAGCAAAAGAAGCAGAACGAGCAAAAGGAGGGAGAAGGAGCAGCAAACACAGCAAGCGGAGCAGCAGGACACCGGAGAAAGAGGACGAGGCAGGAAAGCGGCAACAAGCAACAAACTACGCTTCATAAAGAACTTGGCTGCACAAGGCAACAGCTACAAGTCCGAGGGTTTCGTGCATCGTTTTGGGTATCGTTTTGAGCGCTACCGCGCTGCTGCCACTGCGGCGCGGGCACGAGCAAGAAGCACGACGTAGGAACGGAGCTTGGGGAGCGCAAGAGAACGAGCAGCAGTTCCAGACAAGTTGCAACACACACAACCAACATTTCACGCTAAAAGACAAGACGGGTGGGATGGCCCCCGCGCAAGGCGACAGCTGCAATTCCTTGGGTTTGGTGTTGGTATCGTTTTAGGTATTGCTTTGAGCGCCGGAACGCCGCTACATTTGCGGCTCCTGGGCGCGCAAACATGAAGCATGAACAGGGGCTTGGGAAAGGGAACGGACGCGGCCAAGAGCAAGAGCACTAGACACAGGACATGGGCCGGCGGGTCAGTCCCCACGGCCAGCACAACTTTAGGGGCTTAATTTGCGTACCGTTTTGGGTATCATTTCGTGCGTTGGCGCACCATGAGAGCTGTTGGCACAAGAGGAGGAGCGGGTCCAGGCCCAGAACGCTGTTCAAGACCCAAAGTGTGCGGATCAAAAGGACTACCGAATATCATGCCAAACACTTTTTCAAGTCCGAAAACGCGGAAAACAAATTTACGGTCCAAAACTTGTTCTTTTTGTGCTTTTCCACACTGTCTCCCGCGGGAACCGAAAGGACTGCCGAGTATGATGCCAGAACGCTTCTCAAGGTCCGACATGTGTGACAAAACAAATTTTGCAATCAAAATTCGCTTTGAGAGAGAGAGAGAGGGGTGGAGGGAGAGGGAGAGAGGGAGAGAGAAAGAGAGAGAAAGAGAGCGAGAGAAAGAGAGAAAGAGAGAAAGAGAGAAGAGAGAAAGAGAGAAAGAGAGAAAGAGAGAAAGAGAGAAAGAGAGAAAGAGAGAAAGAAAGAAAGAAAGAAAGAAAGAAAGAAAGAAAGAAAGAAAGAAAGAAAGAAAGAAAGAAAGAAAGCAAGAAAGAAAGAAAGAAAGAAAGAAAGAAAGAACGAAAGAAAGAAAGAAAGAACGAGAGAAAGAACGAGAGAGAGAGAAAGAGAGAAAGAGAGAAAGAGAGAAAGAGAGAAAAAGAGAAAGAGAGAAAGAAAGAAAAAGAGAAAAAGAGAAGAGAGAAAGAGAGAGATAAGGGAGAAAAGAAAAAGAAAGCAAGAAAGAATAACGAGGGAGAGAAAGCGCCAGACACAAAGAAAGATGCCAATAAGGTCACTGATTTCGGCTGGCGTGTCCGGTTTATTAGTCATAGGAGTAGAAGTGCTTCTGATGCTGGCGGTGGTCTTTCAACACTCCGTCTGCTTCTTTGTTTTTGGGACCAGTTGGCGCACGTGATTCAGGGGCGTCAGGAGGGTGGCAGATTCTGCTTTGGGCATCCATTTCTTGGATTTCTTGGGGGGTTGGGGGTTCCTTGACGGGGTGACAGGGTAGCAATTTCAAACCCTTCTGGCCAGCCGGAATAAAAATTCTTGGCAAAGACACATGGAGCTGAGCGGCGCTCAGTTCACTCATCGGTCTTTGGTCTCACTAAAACGGATGTGAAAGATTGCCAGCCTGCAGCGTCCTTCGGACATGCGCACACAGAAAGTTATTCAACACCCATCTCCGAGCAGGGGGCTCCTGAAACTGCCTCGCGCCCGAAAAAAGTTAGTAGAACTATCTGATCGAAGCGGTTCTCATTGTCTGAGAACCTTTTTGGGGGCAGCCTCTCCTAATTTTTGTCAGGGTTTCTCCCGTCTCCTAGGCTGACGGCACCCGGCACCAAGGTATCCCTGTTAAACCCACCCCCCGCCCCCGCAAAAAAACATACAAACAAACAGTTTTGTCTACGGCGAATCGCCGGGCCTCTGGCAAATGATGCCCACAGGAGAAGTCGAAATACGAGCATCGTGGTGACGCTGCCTGGGTGGGCCACAAAGAGGAAAACCCAATGTTGGAAGGAGGAACGATGACGAGTAGATACACACACTGCCGTGTACCCCTTGTTTGTAGGAGATATGATGCCTTGTAAACAAGTACCTCGCCGTTGGGTCGCGCCCGCAACGCGGAAGACCAGGATGCACCGTTGAGTGTGACATCAAGCAATGGTGGCTCAGGGTGTAGAAAGGGGCTTGTCGTAGGCCCGTTAAAGGTCGTTGCCCGCTACCCAGTCCGGACCGTGGTTGATTTCTCCCCATTCTGCCATGACTTGGGGGATGATTGCAGATGAATTTCTTACACGTCCCCGGCCTCAAGCGATGTGTACGGCCTGTGTACAGGGCCACGTGTTCACGTCAATGGATGATGTCTCGTGCGAAGCAGTCAATCCCGGACACACAGGTTTCACAAAGAGAATAACAATCGAACAGATTAACCGCGTGTCATGCCGAGCAGCAGTGCGACAGGGACATATGTTGTTGGGTGTTCCGACCGCGTGATGAACAAGCCTGGAATGGGGGATGTCAATGACCCCTGCACACTGTGCACATTCCGTGGCCATTCTGATGGTGATTGTTTCCGGTTCTGTTCGTGCCCCAAACATGTTGTGTGTAAGTGGTTGAAGTCGCACGCGTAGCATCTGACATTTGGTGGAACAAGACAAAAGCACGTCCCCGTCCTAACGCAGATTTCATTCCTACCGTGTTGTATTTTCCCGCTGCCTATGCTGAAGATGCCAGTTGGCGAAGGGAAGCTTTTCACTGACAGCGATGAGATACTATCTCCGGATATCCAATACATCTTTAATGCGGATATCCTGGATGAGTACCCAGTGCAATATTCGATGTGTCTGTGCTTCAAGCTGTTGACACATCTGATAGTTGGACCATGCAAACACTTGGAAGAATGCCACGCTACACATAGGAATGATCAAGAATGAATGCTCATCGTCAATGTGCGGAAATGCATAATAGGTGCGCAAGTAGCGCTTGTAGTGAATGATCATGTGGATTTCATGCAGCATGGTACGTGACCAATCCAGGCTAAGCCATCCCATCCATCCATACGAACCAAGCAAAACCATGTAGCATTGATGCGTTCATGATAATATACCATTGTGCAACGTCATCGTATGAAGCATTTCAGGATCATTGGGAGCGGGCGACACGCGCAGCGCAAAGTGTGCGCTCCGAGTTGCGCGGCGCCTGCATTCGATTTCTGAAAGAAACGCCAGTCAGCGACGCTTCGGGTGGGGCGGAGCAGGGCATGACTGCGTCTGCGGCTGCGCGCGCGGGTGAGGGGCGTTGGTGGAGCAAAGCGTGCAGGTTACCTTGGCGATGCTGCTAGAAGCCGCGCCTGCCGATGTGCGCGCGGAATTCGAGCATCTCGGGTCATGTGTCTTGGGAGACCTTGCGGCTGCGCAGGCGGGTGCTTCGTTGGAAGGTTTATCTTCGGATCGACAGGGCTTATGGACGGCGTGCAAGAACGCAGGGATTAGCCGGAAACAAGGTGGGAGAAGTTTGCAGCAGGAAGAGCTTCGGGCGCTGGCGAAGGTTCTGGACCTTGTGATTATTCATCTTGTGGTCTGTCAGCGATGGAAAATCGCGTCACCCTTCTCTAGAACTCATCATTCAGGTCCTCCCTCTTGTGCCCTTTGATCACTCTCTTGATGTACCGAGGTCCCTTGCTGTCTCCTAGCAGGCGCCTGGCTGGATTCTTCGTTGCCCGTTGAGGAGGTTGATCTTCTGATCGTGTTCATCAATGATCTCCTCCATGACCTCGCTGTTCCTCCTCAGGCTTTCACATTCGTTGTCAAGGGTGCCGAGCCTCTCTCAATACCATTTGTCCGTTTTCATCATTGATCGAACTTATGGAAAAAAGATAACGTAGTCCTCCTCAAATCTTTGACGCGCTGCTTCCTTGTGCTCTACGCATTCGGAAACCGAACGCTTGAGCTCTCTGTTATTGGCGCCATGTCTGTGGTCTGAGAGTTGCATGTCAGAACTTCTGGTGCGAGGTGTCTCTGTGCGCTTCGTGCTCCCTACATAGCCAGTCGACTCGCAGTGTCAACGTTGTTCACCTGATTTCGCCCAATATCCTGATCATTGATGCCATGGATAGCGTACAGGCCAACGAATAACGTCGAACTCCCATCCGCTGTTGCTGTTGCACAATCGTCCTCCAGCTTCCCTCCTCGTGTTCTCACTATTGTGTAGATGTGGGGGCGTCATTGCCTGGGTTCGTGATCCTGTTTAGCTCCGCGATGTTGCGCTCAACCGTATCGACCCTCACTGCCAGGAGCTGTAACCCATTCTCGTCACTCATGAGATCAATCAAGGCCCGCTACCACGTTGACATGACTCTGACATTGTATGACAAGGCCCCCGATCTGGCAAAGTAATCTGCTAGCAAAAATGCCCCTGATCTGGCAAAGCTAGCATAAAGGCCCCCGAAAGTACTCTGCTAGCATAAAGGCCCCCGCTGGCAAAGTACTCTGCTAGCATAAAGGCCCGCGATCTGGCAAAGTACTCTGCTTGCGTAAAGACACCCGATCTGGCAAAGTACTCTGCTAGATCTGACAAAGCACGCGAGCACAAAGTACTCTGCTGGCATAAAGGCCCGCGATCTGGCAAAGTACTCTGCTAGCAGAAAGGCCGCTGATCTGACAAAGTACTCTGCTAGCGTCAAGGCCCTCGATCTGGCAAAGTAGTCTGCTAGCAGAAAGGCCCCCGCTGTGGCAAAGTAGTTTGCTAGCATAAAGCATAAAGCCCACGATCTGGCAAAGTACTGCGCCAGCAAGAAAATAGCATTGGTTCTTGACCTCAGGCCCGATAATGGTCAAGCGGTCATCGCATTGGAGCGTCTGTCAACATATTCTTACGACACACCGGCATTCAACCTAGATGTGTTGGTGCCAACACTTGTCCACATATTTGCACAAAGTTGATCTTCTGGAAGTAATCAATCTCCGCTGCTCCTTGTCACGGGCCCAATCTGCAGTTTTGGCGGCGAAGTTCTGACCCCATTTCCAATATTCGGCACCTTGTCTCTCGCCTACAATGTACTCGAAGCCTCCAAATCCTTCTCCACGAGCCGGGCATGGCCCCATCAAGAGGCTGCAGCGCGAGTCTCTTCGTATACATTCATGTTTCGGTCGCAGTGCGTGATCTTGCCCCTTTGTCAATGATCGACCATGATTCCCGTCGAGCATCCACCGTTCAACTTTGGTACTAGTATGTCGGAAATAATTTATGCTACATATATGTTACTTGTTTAGCTTATGACCTAACTTCTGAAACAGCATTTGTAACTCAACTTAAAGAAGTTAAGCACGAACTTAATTTAAGCTCACCATAAGTTACTCGGGGGCAGCCGCGTTAGCACTTTTTCCACGGCGCACCCCCGGCACGGGATTCAAAGCTTTGCCGCGCAAAAGGAAATGCGCAAGAGAGGCAAGCGGCTTTCTTTTCTAGCGCGCCAGACTGCGAGAGCCGAAGCCTCAGGCCACAGACTTGCCCGCTGAGACGCTGCCGGACCACGCCGCCTTGTGAGGGCCAGAGCAACATATCACACGTCGTGATGTGTTGGCGGATCAGTTTCATCTCTTGAAGATTCGCAAGAAACAATCTATCATCTCGCAGGCAGCAAACCTCCAGAGCCGCAGCCTCCGCCATGGCGCGAGGGCAGCGCGCAAGGTTAGCAAAACCACGCGAAGGCTTTGAAGGGTTACCTTGGACATGCGTAGGAACGTGCTTTAGGAGGTCGTGCGCCGTTCCAGCAAATGGCCGCGAGCCAGAAATGGCCACAAAAACCCGTGAGTATCCATGAATCGGCCGCGAAGTCCCTAAGCTGGCCGCGAATGTTTTTTTGACAAGCGAAAATGCGAATTCCAGGGATCACGCGCGCCAAAACACCGTAGTTTAGAGCCTTTTTCACGCGAGTTCACGCAGTTCATTCGACCCCCCCCCGCCCCCCAACAAAAAAAAAGAAGCGGGGGCCGCCAGTCCTGAAATTTCACAAGTTCACGCCCAGAGTTGGCCAACCGCAATCCCAGAGATGGCCCTGAAACTTGAAGCACAAGAGCCACGTGAACTTGCCGCCGGCCGTTTGTGAAGCGCGACTGGGACGATCGCTGCAAGCGCAGACCGTTGATGAACAAGTACACTTTTTAAGGGGGTGCTTGGGGCATCACCCCCGAGCACGCCAGCTTTCTTTATTCTTGGCTTCTTTTCCGGGTTTGGTGGAGGTTGACTGTTACTCTTGCAATTTGCGAGCAACAACCTCGTTCTGGAAGGGCGCACAAGCCCCTGAAACTCGCTTGCGCATGTCCAGGTCTCAATTGGCCACCAGCTGATCAAGATTTGCTTTGGCCGTGAAATCACCAAATGGCTGGCTGTGAGACCGAAGGGAAATTCCTTGAAATGCCGTGAAACGGCCGTGAAATTCCCCAAGTGGATATGGAACCCCGCAAAAATGAAATTCGTGAAGCACCTAAATGGATTTAAGCCAATTTTTCAAGGTCGAGAGACGAATCGCCGCTGTCAATCAACTGAGTGTTCAGGGTTGTCAACACTGTTCCCTACTATAATGCGTCCCACAAACGCATCTGCAATGGCCCTGTGACAAGGACTGAGGTCTTTTGGAGCAAGCCCAACACAACAAAACAGAATTCGAACACTCAGGGTTTTGGGCCCTGTGGCAGTGCACCGTTTACCCACGCCTTGAGCCACGTAATCACGCGTTGAAACCGGCACATGCCAAGGGGAGGCTGCCCTGAACTGCTTTACTACTGGACATCGCGATGGGGCCCGCCCGCGACCGCGAATATCACGAAAACCACCAAAGATGAGAACATTCAAAACAGCCCGACATACTTTAGAGTCTCTTTTCCACAGGCGAATATTAACGTCTTTTAGTCTCTCTTTGGCAGCTTCTCTCTGCGTCGTCCGCGGCAATCAGAAATGGCCTGCAAGCATAGGCCATGCAGCCAGAAGCAGCTGCGAAAATGAAGGGGTCGCGCGAAAAGTCACGAACGCATGACCACTTGTTTTCTAATCACGGGGAACCTGTCGAGGTTCCCAAGGTTCTAACATAAGTCACAGAAGTTAACCTAGGTTCTAACCTGCGTAAAAGCCCCATTTGCTATTTCAGACGCAGTGGTAAGTCGATAGTTTTGTTCATTGCACATGCGGGCCAACGGGGGGAGGAATAAGCGCTTCAGTTTGCAACGGGTCGCGCTCGGGGTTTTATGTTTCGCAGACGTGAGGCTAAGCAAGTTGAGCATGGCGCGCGGCAAGATGCAGAGTCAGACCACTCCTGTTTTTGCATGGGTTGCAGCTGATGAGGAGATACACACGCTGACATATATGCATCTCTTGTTTGTAGGAGATATGATGCCTCGTGACCAAGTACCTCTGCAACGAGGGTATACACACAACATGTTTGGCGAGCCCGAACATAACCAGAAACAGTCACCATCAGAACTGCCGCGGAATGTGCACGGTGTGCAGGGGTCATTGACACCCGAAGAATACGATAACCTTTAAATCAACCTCAAAATTACCCCGAAAGTAACACCCACCCACCTCGAGTCGCAACCCCTGAGCTCTAGTTCCCAACCCAAAAAGGCGTACCGCACCCAAATGAAACCCCAAATGGCTGCAACGCGCGTGGTCTGCAACACGCTGCTCAAACATAGAGGCGCCTCTATCTTTCCGAAACCGAGGGGAACTAAGAGTTCAACCTTCTTGACCCAGACAAAGTCGTGTTTTCAGACAAACACTGACTGAAACCTTCGGCAGGTACAACCAGCAGCTGTGGCTAGCACATCTATCTCAGCTTCTGCGCGCAAGAAATGATCTACATAGATGTGTCTCAAAACGGGGCGTCCTTTGCTGTTCCTTTACATCTAGCCCCCAGCAAGAAAACATTTAGATTCCTGGTCTTCATCACAGTTGCTTGCCACCTGCTACCTGCAACCGACTGCAGGCATGGCCAAGCGGCATCACAGACTGATGGGTAGGAGCTTCGGGGAGACTTGGCCTGCACCAGCACATGTTCACTCAGTTCCTTCTCCCTCGCTGTTTCGGACTAGGGCTTACGGACGACTCAACAAAAATTCAAGGTGGGTTGCTTGAGGGTTAGACCTCCAGATATGCGAAACAAAGTGCTCCCGTTTTCCGGTTGACTTTACCGGGAACCTCAGCCAGTTCATTTCCCTCAACAGGACTCCACTGGCTGCGCCCCCTGGTTCCTTTTGGGAGACGATGTTTGCTTGGGGAATCCAGTGTCCACCAGAACGAATTCCTGAGAACTTAAATCCAAGTCTTTTTATTAGTGCAACTAAAATGGAGCACACGGTCGGCAGTGAGATGCTCGACTGCCAACAAATGAAGACGTCGGTGTGGCCCGAAACCGAGTCCCGCCTCCAAGAATTCGAGTGGGGCAGCCTCATCCATTAAAGCCTCCTCGGGCTTGTCAGGCGGGCACCTGGGATTGGAAAAGGCTACCTGGTGACGCTGCCGCAACAAACAACGCCGCCGTTCCCAACTGGACGGACAATGTGTTGCATCATCCCCCTATTTTGAGGTGAGGGCGCCGATTCGTGTTCAACAAAAATGCTGTATATATCTATATATATATATATATAGATCCCTTAGGTATGCCCATTGAGAATGAGGCTATAAAACCAACAAACGCCGGTCAATTTGAGGTAAAGTTCGGAAAAAAAACCGACCTTGCGACGGATGTTTTGCTTTCGTGCCCCAACCCACTAATCCCCGTATATCCCCGTATCGTCTCAGACGGGAGGGAACTCAACCCGTGTTGAACATATGGTACACACAGAGACAAAACTGCAGAAACGCAAGAACGGTCAACTGGGACAGCGTTCAAGCGCTATGGTAGGCGGCCTATTTTTCTTGAGCCAACTGTTACATGCGCACGAATGGTCTAAGCCGCACGCACCTTAAAAGTCTACTGGCAACAAAACAGCCCATGTACGCGGCAGTGCTGCACAACCTGAGTAGGGAAAAAGCGCCGGGATACAATGGGTGCTTTGCGCAGCTTCAGAAGACCTCAGAGCGAGAGCGCACAAGGAATGAGAGCATTTAAGCCAACACGGATCAATGCTCACAATCACCGCACGATGTTTTGGGCCGTCAAGTCCAGCCATTGAAGAGCTGAATGAGCACATGGGCAGTCTTTCGGGCTCTCTCAGCCCAGCTCAGAGGCTAACGATGGGGTAGGCAAACTCCAGCGACGATGCACGGGGGTCAAAGGCCACAGGCAGCCGCCGAGCCGCAGTAGGAGAGTAGAAGAAGGCACGCAGCAGCGGCAACTTGGCTGGAAAGTCCTATCCGGACACAAGTCACCCAAGGCTGAGGCGTGTAGGCAGCAGCCGAGCACGCAACTTGCAGCAGCTACACTGCGAAGGGCCTGGTAGGTTCAAACAAACTTGGTGACGTGGAGCGGGATAGCCAACAGAAAGTGAATAAGCGTGAGGGTCATCGCCGGCGGAAGCATGCCAGAAGACAAAGTATGTTTGAACACTGCGAACCAATGGATAATCCTCATTCGTCATTTCAATCACCCAAGTGGAGTCCGAATGAGATCCGGAGCCGAAATGGGCTCGCGTCAGCGTGAACTAATTCAGCACATGGTCAAAGCGATCATCGCGAAAGCGCAACAGGATCCTAAGGTAGTGTGGGTATAAACACACGGCTCCCAACCTTCGCCACAAAGAGAACAATCAATGGCACCGGTACGGGGAGACGAGGGACAAGGGTTTATGTAAATCTTGTTGGCAAGTCGAGCACAAGCAGCGACAGTGACGGGCCAAGCATGACCCAGCGACTCCTAGTAACCTGTATAGCTAGTAACTGGCCGTTGGCGACTGGTTTTTTGGGAACCATGTTTGGTTCCCAAAAAAGTGGGAACCAGATTCCTGTCCAACGGTTTTATCGATTCCGGGCCTCTTTTTCACGGTTCCGGGCCTTTTTCACGGTTCCGGGCCTTTTTTGACGGTTACGGGCCCCAATTTCGGCCTTTTTTTTTGTGGTTCCTGGAACCAGCGGTCAGTTACCAATATGGCAGGTAACCAAGCTGGTTACGCATATGGAGGTAACTGGAAGCACTGGGTGACATTGTCGTCCAGTTTGGCAGCCACAGAAACACACCTTGGACATCCCGTGCCCATTGATGAACTCATCGATACGTTGAAGGCCAAGCCGTGCAGTGTCAAATCCTTTTTCAAAAATGACACCGAAATCGTGATGCAGGGCGTTCAGTGCTTAAGGGCGGATCGAACAATGACACCACAATTGTTCCTGACTTTCTTGATCTTGGACTAATCCTTTCTGCACAAGTCAGGGCAAATTTCCGCTCAGTCCGGGCAAGGTTGTCATCCCTCTGGCCTCACCGTCATGGAGATGTACCTGTATGAGGAGGTACGGCTGTTGAAGTTGTTGGCTCCCCACTAAGTAAAGAAAGAAAACACCAGGCACTTACACTCCTGGTCAGCATGGAGCTCCAAGACCCCTTGGTTGGTGGAATCTTCTCTTGATTTGTTTTGCTTGGATTCATCTGGCCGCATTTCCCATCAAATATGATACCAGGGAATTTTGAGAAGTCCTTCTTAGGACCGTGAGCTTCCGCCTTTCCCGTGCGTTGGCTCAAAGCCAAGAAGTTTGCAAACTAGACCCTGCCCGTCCACCATACCCTCTCCCAAAACCCCACGGAAAACACGCACAAAAAGCAGCAAGCAGATATAAGCCGAGCGGCAGCTTGCCGATGAAGAAGGCATCAGGCTGGCTGGGTATGGGCAAGCGTGCGAGCTCCTGGGACGGCATGTTCGCCGTGAGCCTAAAAAAGAGCTGGCGGCAGGGTCCTGAGTTTGTCGCTCCGTCAAAATTAGCTGAAAGCACCCGCATTTCCATGTTAATTTGTAGGGAGTCACAAGGGACCCTTCTGCGAACATTAGGAATGCATCAGTCTAAGAAACCAGGAAGTTCTACAAGCTCGCCAACATTCACAACGGCAAACTTCCCGTAGCTTCTTTTGTAGCTGCAAACACCATCTCCCACAAGAGGAAACTGATCTTCACGTTGCCTTCCCGGTGCCATGTGAGTCAGAGGAAAGGTTAATGTCTCCAGATTGGCAGGTGCGGAATTTCATGAATCCGATCTTGCAACGGGAACGGAGTTCGGAGGTCTCCTGCCAATCTCGCGTGGAGTAGCCAAACAAAAGCTTGCAGAAAACCCTGCTTTTCCAACCACGAACCCGTGTTTGGGTCTAAAACACGCAGCCCTAAACAAAACAGGCTGATTGAACAGGCCAGCCTCCGTTGGCGGATACAAAACAAGCATACTTCCAGTAGCAAGCAAAGGGAAGCTGGGAGGCAAGAAGTGACAGTGATTTGGTCAAGCCTCCCGCGACCTAAATGGATTCAGCTCGCTCCAAGTCTTGAGATGAGGCTCCTGTCCGGGGTAGATGAAGAATTTGCTTGGGATCTTTTTATTGTTTCGGAGCTTCGAGGGCCATGTGGAGATAGTCCTTACTTGAAATGAGCCTGTTTGACGCAGGCCAGCGCCGCTGTCGTTTTGACCCGCACTTCGCCAATTGCTCTGGCCAAACTCCTTTGGCCGTCCGTCTGCCTGGAGCAGTCCCCAGGTCTTAGGATCCGCGCCCTCAGATCGTTGCCTAGGTTTTCAGTTGGAAGTCCCGCGGCGAACGCGCTGCGAATGGGATGCATTTCAACAGGCTGGGGCTGATCTTGCGAGCCCCGAGGGCTCAGCTTGCATAAGTGTACGGTGCTTGCCGCAAACATCGCAAGCTGGGGGAGGGGGGTGCAACTTACCAGCAATGTTTGTGGCTATGTTTTCTTGCAATACTTGCGGCATCCCCTTGGAACCTCATAAGCTGCCATAACTCAGCTTTGGCCCAACCAATCAAGTCTGTGGGACAAGCTCAGGGTTCTCCCTACTTTTGAAAAAAATGAGGGAGGGCCTTTTGATGGAGCTTGGGACGTCCCCTTAGATTCGCATCGGATCCATGTGTTGCGCTCTCCTAAGGTCTGTTTAACTTTGAACATACACACTAGGAATGTGAAACCTTGGAAGCCTTGATGTCCAGCTTCACCACGTCCCTTGTTGACCGGGGTTCAGGGACATAATACTTCAGCTCCAATATGTTACCTAAGAACACTTGGCTTGTTGCAGCTAATTTATGCATCTATCGAGAACAGCCCCACAATACTAGACCACGCTGGCCCACATCCAGGGCGAAGGTAGATGGCGCCAGTCACTGGCGGAGGCAAAATGCACAGGTCGGCTGTCGGAGTTGCGCCATCTCTCCGCAGGGAACCCATGCTTTAAGTTCGCCCCAAGTCATTGGACTGGGGTTGCGAAACTTGGGACGGCTGGCCACACGGTTTGAACATCACGATTCATGGAGTGGCTGAGCCCATCAGGGAGAAAAGCAAAGGACGCGTTCCGGCTGCAGAAAAGGGACTGTGAGAATGTTTCTGGCGGGGCTTGCTACCTCTCCATCTGCACGGTTTGATGCGGAATTCCGGCCGCCCAAAGCGATGACCAAACATGGCCACTGCAGCTTCATAGGCAGGCCCCTTTGCACCCCGACGACTTGGGTTGTACCCCCAGTTTATGGATTCCCGGTTCCCTAATTCGGCCGCAGAAAGTTGGTTCCCCGCGGAAAAACCATGTCAACGCAGTCGGCAAATGTTCCAACTCAACATCTTGTTGAGTTCAACCCCCCCCCCCAAAAAGAACAAAACCAAACGCCGAAACTCTGGTCAGAAAGGGGCCTCACGCATACTAAAATGGCCTTGCTTTTCTTGTTTTTTTTGGGGGGGTTTGGGCGGAGCTGAGCGTGTCCTTTTTGAGGGGTACCATTTTGGGGGGGGGGGGGACCCTTGGCAGCCGCCGGCTTTGAGCTTTGCCTTCATTGCCCCCAAACACCTGGCCTTAAGGATCCCTTAAGGACAGGCGCATTCCAGGTTGGTTTGGCAGGGTTGATTTCACAACATTCATAGGGGTCCCGAAGTAAAGACAAACAAATGTCCCGAGAAGATTGACAAGTGCACCGGCAGCGCATGAAGGAGCGGAGAAGGACAGGAGATGCTGGTGAAGCTTCACCTGCTCAAACGTGCGGGCCTGAAGTACTATGGGTTCGATTGCGGGCAGATTTTAAACAAGAGACGTGTACGAACGCGTGAGTTTGGGGACCATCAAAGTCCCAAAGGAAGCTCCCGCCATACCAAAATCAAATGGAGACTCAAGTCCACCAATACTTAATCAAAAAGGACATTGAAATCCAATCTTAAAAGGAAGCTCCAGCAACACTAATCTACAGATACCCCCTTTGTGGATGGGCATGCCGTGCATCTGTTTGTACTGGTATACCGGCAACTCTCTCTAGGATCCATTGCCGCACAGGCAAGAAGGCAACAGGTCACCACGGTGTCGATCCAACAAATGCAAGGGACCTGCATCATAAAAAAGAGATATCCGAAAAAGGCTGCGCGGCAGAAGGGCCGCAACAACCGCAGGGTTGGGCGAAAGCGGCCGCAACAGGAACTGAAGGCAGGTTGCCAAGGTCACACATCCCGCACAAAGCCCCTCCCCTTGGAAGGTGCACGGGGTTGACTCGTCCCACCCTGCTAGCGCATGCACCATGCAGCCAATAGGGTGTGTCCAAAAGAGGGGGACCCACAAAATGTGCACTGGGGTCCACATGAACAAGTCCGCAACGGAGAAATGTGGGGAACATAAAGCGGTCCCAAATTTCAAAGTAGATTCCGTTACCCACACACACCAGTTTTGCGTGTTCCATGCCAGCCTTAAGGGAGTACAATTTAAAGGTGGTCGCCAAAGTGCAAAACAATACTAAACATAAGTACATTTACGGGGGTAAACCCCTGCGGGATAAAGGCGGCACCTGCTGCGAACTTCGGTTTGCAAAAAAAGGCGCGAACTTCTCCGAACCCACCAAGGGTTAGTGCGAACGACCAGGGGCTTCGTGGAAGGCTATTATATGTACTGGAATATTTACACGAACCCAAGAGGGTTCTATCAGGTTCGGTGGGTTGAGGCCTTTTACTCTCTTCGTTACTGTCCACTGAATATTCCCCCATAAAACACTGCCAATGATCTTGGGCCTAAACGGTGATGCTGAAAACCATCCTGCACATCGCAGCAGCACATCACCCTACAGCAAGGAAAGTGGACAAAAGTTGGCAACCAACACCAAGCAGGGAAACCATAAGGACCCACCCCTTTTGAGTTTTCAAAGCAAACCTGGATGAAATGAGGTTCTACCAGACTCCAATAGGCAAGGGGCATGGGGGTTGGGACGTTGGGATGCGAAATGAGCGGAAACCCAAGCTCCGCTAAAACACTCCGGCCACGGGGCACGCGAAGCAATACTTCTGGGTGTCATGGTGGGTAACAACCTTCTCTTTGCTAGGTGGCACGACTAGTCACTAACAACTCATCAATGTATCATTGAAGGGTTGTTTGTTGGTATTGAACGTGGCCCTTCAACCAACACAAAAAGTGGCTCGTCAACCAAACTGCCTGCAGAAACACGCTGGGTCTTGGTCACAAGTCCTAATAAGAAGGTCAGCTACCACCCCGAAGCCAGCTCTGAAAAGGGGTCTCCAAAAGGTCCCCTTTCTGGACACCCCCACGGCTGATTTGATGTCCAGATCCGAACGTGAAAATAGTCCCTAGATGTCGCTGAGGCGTGCCGATGTTCATGCTCGGAGGGCGCCAACCGTCCGCTGCTCTCAGGCCCTGCCCCCATTGGCGGTTTGGATGGGTGGTTTGGGGACTTGGACCCACGGTTCCCTCAAAACCAAATGGACACGTAGGAGGTAACCCGCCAAACCACCAATCGAAACCACCGCATACAGGCAAGTAATTCTGCATCAGAGTCACAAACGCTCACAGGAGAAAGCAGGGCACCCAAACAGGGCCTTAATTCATCATTCTCCGTACGCCCGCGCGGGGGTGACCATTAATCAGTGCTCTGGACGTGTTTAGGGGAACCGGATCACGGGAGATCGCACTCCATTGCTGGGTCCCAAGGGCCCGCCTTGCAAAATGAAAGGACAAACACAGACTGATGGCGCATGATATGAACAAAAAGAAGCGATTCCTAGATTCCTAGACCCCCGAACCCCCGCCCTCCCTTTTCCAGCCGACTGCCAACACATTCTAAATTTAAGGCACCAGTCAGGTTTGAGTAAAGAGCCCTTCTGTCCATTTTTTGGTACCCACCAACCCCCCCCCCCTACCATGTCTGGGTACGTAGGAGAACCATATTCGCCAAGCAGATGTTAGGGGCCCCAAAATTCCTCTTCAACATCACCATGAACACGGTTCCTGAAAGGATGTATCCAAAATCACCTGCGTCGCAAGGGAGTCCTGCAACCAGCTGGCAAAGACTATGCTTATGCTGACTCAAATGCATGTTTTTAAGGAACCCTGCTGAAAGAAACCTCACTTTAAGTTGGTGCCATGGGCAGGCATTCTGAGGTGAGCAGGCGGGATGTCGCTCCACCCTTGCTCATCACCTAAAATAAGTCGGTCAAAACACGAGGCCCCTGCAGTATACATGGGAAGCCGAGCAGGCTTTTTGGTTTGTGTTTTACTGGGTCCAGATGTTCCTAAACTTCACAAAGCAAAACCCAAGATTGAGTGATGGTGAGACCGTTTTTGACCGAACCGGTGGAGAGGGGCGCGCTCGCTCTTTGCAAGCCTGAGCTGTTTTGAACATAGTTGGGTCTATCTCTCTCTCTCTCTCTCTCTCTTTTTCTGTACCCTTTTTG